CATATAGCCGATTTTGACATACCTCTGAATTTTGAGAATAAACACCGATACTGTCAGAAGCGCCCAGATGTGTTATCTTATATATAAGACGTTTGAACCTGAACACAAGTTGTTCGACTTTTTAGGGCTGCCTGTTTATTTCAACCTTTTCTTATTGATTAATTGTATGTTGTTTGACAATAAACGTTGTTATTATTATCTATTATAAGACAACCGTGGACATTCGAACACGGTGAACAATGGACAAAGATTTTTCAGTGATATACTCGTACCTTCATTCCCGAATTTCTGCACAAATAAGTCTAGTAGCTATAAGAAAACACTGGTATGAGTTACAGTTCTGAGGTTATCTATCTGGCGAATTCACTTATCACGTTCCTGTAGTAGTCTCTTCATATGGCCACTTCTCTCTTACAACATGACCTACTACTAAATAAGTATTTGCTTCTTGGCACTAACCATGGTAGCGAGTATCTCCACTAAAGAAAGCTCTCTGATAATTATTGTTTCTTTCGTAATATGGAGATCTCTCAGAATTAGCCTCAGCTGTGACATTTGAAAGTTATTCCTTTAATAGCATATCTTTTTCATCAACGCTATTGTTTCAAAACGGCCACTATGTCTATTTGCTTGTACGACCTGATCACAGCTTTTGTCGTATTTCATTTCATCTCCTTGTCGCGGTTTTACTATTAATTATATTGGCGGACAAAATTTTTACCCAGAAGCCAGAGTATACTTTTTCCAAGGTTTCTGATACGCTGAATTTGAAGCCGTGTCCAGATCTCTCAGTTGGCTCTAGTTTCCGAGATATTCAAACCTACGAGTGCCTACATTTGAGATTACCAAACACAGAAAATTATTTTTTCCCTCAAACAACTGTAGACGTCATCTCAAAGTACACGCTCTGCTCATTCAAATGCCGTTGAGCTTGCTTAGATATAATTTTTTTGCTGAGATATGTTCTTTTTTCTGATTTTTTCTACATTTGATACTCCTCAGGATATGATTAGTTGATAGCCCTTATTTGATAGAAAATAAATTGAGTTGTCATTAAATGTTTGGTGTATTATAGTCAAACCACAACTTCCAAAGTGCAGCAAAAAAATGAGGCATTTATGCAAACTCAACGGCATTTCAAAGTCAAGGCTGGTACTTTGAGATGGTGCCTACAGTTTGTTGAGAAAAAATGATACATAACCTTAAATATAGGCAAACATCGCCATTTTTGCACTTTTAGTTTAGGATATATCGGAAACTAGAATTGAGAGATTTGGACCACCTTCGGAAAAGATATACTCTCGTTTGTGGGTAGGAGGGTCCGTTCACTTTTGTTGGTCTGTGTTCCCGCTGGGTATTATGTTTTCAACATGTAAATCCAACCAAGGCATCCTTTGTAGTATTTCGACATGACGGGTAGCGTTTACTGGATGATACTTCTATAATAATATAGAGAGTCCTTGACATCGTTCTGCGTCTTTAACGCCACTGTTTCAAAGCGATCTATCTCTGCCTAATTTCCTTTCGCGGCCCAGTCGAGCAGCACAGATGCGGCGTTGACGCCCCACAATGAGTCAGGGAGGAACAAAGCCTGGCAAAAACAGGAAAAAATGTCCGATGATGTTATGCATGTATTGCTATCTGCTCTAGAAAGCATAAAATATCATATTCACTTAGCTAATATTATTCTGAAAAGTAGTCTTATCACATAAAAGTGTCGTCAAAGTCTTCTCTCCGGACGCGTCCAAACTGCTATGATAATGGTCTTTTAGAAATACTTTCTTTATACCAAAGCATTGGTGCTCCGATTTTTGGATTGTCTAAGGTTGTGAACAGGAAAAAGAGTCAGATTATTACCAGATCTCGATACCAAGAGAAAGGGAGTGGTCGTATCGTCCAGTTCTGGATGTACGAAGTTTGTAGCGGTTAGGATGGGAGGCTGCAGTCAGACGACTCTAAGGAGCAAAGCACGTTGGCGTAGCGGTGGAAGAGGGCTTGATCGCCGACGGCCCGCCGGAGCGAAAGGATGTCGAGACTGTCCGTTAGAGAAGCATAGTGGAATAGCTAGTTCCCATCTGGGCCTTGTACAGAGTGAAGATGAGTGGAGAAAACTACTTCTTAGCCTAGATTTTTCCCAGTCCTCCGTGATCTGGACCCCGACCTGCCGATATTAACGGCATGAACGGAATGGTAAAGCTCGGTCATCCATCGGCACCGGATGAGCGCCAAGACGCTTCTTGTTCGTCAAGCACTGTGTTTTAGAAGCACTACACTGTACAAGACTGATGTGTGCCAAGCAGTGATAACCTTCAGGTCTCTCCTCAGGCAGTAAGTCGCTGCTAGTATTCTTTTCTCCCGCTCACCGACAGACACCGGCTTGTCACTCTGAATTCCTGCATGTAGAGTGCTGTCATCAGCAAGCGGTGGATTGGATTGATCCGGTTCGTCTCCATCATCTTACTTATAACAGAAAGCAGAACTTAGACCTGTAGTTGTGAGGGTTGGTCTTAGACACTTTTTGGGATGGGTTAGTTATGAGCAATTTTCAGTTTTCTAGGAAAATGCCGGACTCGTAAGATATCTAGAAGAGATGGGAAAGGATTGGAACGAACTCCGCTGCACATCAATATAATGCAGGAATCAAGTCATTATTCATTCATTATTCTATGCCTAGATTTTAAGCAAAATCATTGTCCGATCTTAAGGTTAGATATATGTGTTATTGACATTTTTTCGTGATTAAAGGCTTCAGTTGTCTGTACAAATTACAAGCTTGTATATTTGAATCGCTCAATTGAAAGTTTGTTTGTTTGACCTGACCGTAGTTCCGTTATTGGAAAAATGTTTACAAGCGAGGTCCTCCTGGCTCCCATATAAAATCAAAATTGCGCAATTGATTGATCAAAATCGGGAAATTAGTTTGAACTAAATTAATAAAATAATTATACCTGGTATGCTTTGAAGTTATCTAAACATCGAGAAATATTCATGAATGTGGAGTTTGTTTTCGAAAATCCTTGCTCTTGTAAAAAGGCTCAGGTTATTTGTTTTAAAAAAATGATAATATTTAACTATCGAGGAATATGTGTATGTGTTTTGTCGGAATTTCTTCATATATTAGAAGTTTCGGTTATTAAGTGTTTATTTCATTAATTCACTGTTCGATAATGAGAATATATTGGAGACCAGCGTCATGAATTACTATCAAGTAATGAGATGTTTTTTTCTATAAACATTTGTATGTCTTTTTTTATCGACAATGGTTGAGAATTGCACCTTACAAGTTAAGGGTGTGAGTACTCTGACTGAGTACGTATTACACTCAAAAACCATGATGCAAGCACACCGCACCATTTCCGTCTCATGGTCAGAGGCATTTCGGTATATTATGTATGTGACAAGGCAACAGATAAAAATTCTAAAATTTATTTGCGAATTCCCATCATAAGTGCCTTGCCTTTTAGATAGATAGATACTCACTTACTCACTGGGGACATATTTGTTTTATCACTGAGTAAACGATCAAGCATGTTGCTGTCAAAAGTGGCGACTCTTTTTCCTCTTCATGTATGATTCAGGTAGTAACTACAGCAAATTTGAGCTAAATCACTGGTTTTGTTACAGGATTATACTGTCTAGTAGTTTTTGTACTTGATAAGAAGAATTTTCTAAAAAGAATAAAACTCAATTTTCCTCATGTCAAGGATTTTTTTACATGTTTTGCACCTCCCTCGCCCATCCTGTAACGCCACTGTTTCGAAGCAATCTATCTCTGACTAATTTTCTTCCGCGATCCAGTCGAGCGTCGCAGATGCAGCGTCGTCGCCTGCCGCTCCATCTGAGACGTCGTATCTTGGCGTCGCGAGCGTCGTTCTCGTATAATTTCCTCATAACGGATTAACGACACCTACCGAACAGCAGGAATTCTTCGTCCGGCTTTCCGAATGACCGGAAGTCCAAGCAGTAAATCCAGGGTGCACCGGAGGTGAGTCGTTACCACCGGAAGATGGTCGCTATCGTTCGCTGAACGTCCGCGCCGATTGGCATGGTCGATGTGGCAATTTGATGTTCAAAATGGGACAAAGTTCGGGTGAATCCATATATGCAACTTTGATAATAGTTTTTCTCTGATTGTCTGTAAAGGCGGTCCGTAGGACCTTTGCCTTCATGTTAAAGTACGTCAGTCAGCTTGTTATTCTGTCGGTCTGGTCACTCATAAACCAGACTTGATTCATCGAAAGAGGCAGAAAAAAAAGAATGAAAGAACAGAGAGAGCAAAGAGTAGGATATACAACTGTTAGAAAAGGCGTCCAAGCATTGTTGAAAATTTCTGTAATAATCTTGGATGCCCAAAAAGGATATGGTTCGAGTTTTGTTAAAATATTGAGCCGTATTCGTAAAACAAAGGATATCCTTGTACTTGCAAATTTTGAAGGAAATCCTCCAGATGGTTTTTATAATAATTTGATGTAAATGCTGTTGCTTTTTGGGTATAAGCATGTCCTTCAAAGCAGTGAAATAACTAAAAGGATATTCATAATCTTCACCTTATACTTGGCATAGGAAGCATATCCTTCAAAAAGTCTTAGTGTGGTCAGTAGCAGACTCAACTTCGTAACGAAAGGTGGTCAAACGATGATGGCGGAAATTGTAGATGTTAGCGATGTTAAAACGTACAAACCTCGTTTACCTTCACTTGGTCGTGACTTCAAAAAATTATATCGGTTCGACGAAGCAAATGTACAATGGCTTGCGGACAGATTTTTAGTTGAGAACGAAGAAACTCGAGGAGGAGTAGTCATAAAATGAAGATATGTCTACGCTATCTCGGTGACTCTGGATATCAACAAGGTATTGGTCAGGAACTTGGTGTTAGTCAAGCAGCGGTATCTTGGACTGTGGATAGAGTTGTGGACAGCATAGTTGCACAGTCGAAGGAATGGATCAAGTTTCCAACTACCAACCATGAACTGATGCAGGCCAAGAGGATATGGTAAAGCATGTACAAATTTCCGACAGCAATTGGTGTAATTGATTGTACACATATAGGAATCCTAAAACCAAATCGCCATGGAGATGAGTATATCGACCGAAAAGGGAAACCTACTTCAATTGTGCAAGCCACTTGTGACGCCAGAGAGATGTTCACAAGTGTTGATGTCAGTTGGCCTGGATCAATGCATGATTCCAGAATATGGAGAAATTCACAGACTAGATCACAGCTAATAAATAAAGCAAATGTTGTACTACTTGGCGATGACGGTTATGATATTGAGCCATGCCTTATGACTCCCTTCAGCAATCCTACTCCAGGTGCAGCAAGAAATTATAATAAGCTTTTAAAACAGGAAAGAGTTACAATTGAACTGTTTCGTCCAACTGAAACGCCGGGTTCCTATCCTACAGTATGTTTGTAGCGTAAAGTTGAAAATGTGCCGAAAACAATTATTGCTTGTATTGTACTCCATAATGTTGCGAAGAGCTTGGGCGATCCAGACTTTGTGTTAGTTGAACAAGACCCAGATGAAGATGAAGGAAATCATGGGAGTGACGAACTTCCTCTCCGCCAACTAGGTCAACAAATAAGATAGAAATTGAGTATTATAATAAATAGTTTTACTGATTAAAGTGTATTTATAAGTTATAATAAGTTTTATTTTCGTGAACATCATAAGTTACAGGTGGCTGACGATGCATCATTTCTAATTTCGTTTGATAATACTCTTGTAAAATACTTGTTTGGTACTGCTGTAATAGCATTAGATGTTGCAGTTCTTTTGTAGTTAACCCTTTGGTTTCCTCAGTTTTGTATCTATCTGTTGCTAATTTTCTTTTTGGTGGCGATGTCTTCTGAACTGCTGACCCTGTAATACGAACTGTTTGCTCACTGCGCTCGGTATATACTTTACTTCCTTCTTCTTGAACACTACCAACCTAAATGGCACCTCTAATTTTCCCAATTGTAGGATTACAGTCACCTTCCATAGCTTTTAGCAACTTTCTTTCCCAATTTAACAATTTAATTGCTTAATTACCAGTTTTTTAGATCTGTTTTTTTCTTCAATCTTGATTGCATTTTGTTGTTTTTTAAATAAGCCTTTAGTATCTAATGGTTTACCGAATGTTGATTCGTATTTTTTCAACATCTTCTTCAAGGCTTCAAGGCATCGTCCTTTCTCGTTTTTATTTTTGGAACTTGTGGCTTTTGAAAATTAAATTGGAGCAATGGCAATTTCATCTGCGATGAGCTGCAGGTCGTTACCATTATTTGCTATAGTTTCCTTATCACTTGAGGATGACATGCTTATTAATTCGATAAAAAGTTGTATCCAGTAAAAATACGGAATGGTCTCTGTAAGCTCTGGTGTACAGCTGTCAGTGATGCTAAGTGAACGAACTCCCACGTCAACTACAAGCTCGACAAGTCACGACATGCCGCTCAAGATACAAGTACCAGTCAACCTTTTACTTCTTCTAGGAGGATATCCTCGCGAGTATAAGGTAATCATTATGAATATGAAAACTAGGATAAAAGCTTATATTTCCACCTTTTTCTCCGAAGCAAGACCTCATACTTTTACCTTATGTTTCCGTGGATATGCTTCTCTTTTGTGAATACGGCTCATTATCTATATTATACGAAATTGGGCGATTTCATTCAAGGATTGTAATGATGCGATTCTGCTTATTCATGACGTCGCTGCGCCTGATGTATGATATAATCATCTAAATAAGAAGTGTCGAGATCTCTGTGTAGGGTTTCGTTTGCAACATACCATGGGGCATTGGTGATGGGTGGTAAGCTCCTTTTTTGCAGGACCTGCAGAGCTCGCCAATGCGTATTCGCTAGAAAGAACCAAGCTGCACATGCGTACGTAATGGTGGGATTTGATGCTAGTGTTTGAGGTCTGTTATGCGCCATTAGTGTTAGGGAGGATTCAAGGATCCTTGCCTATTAGTTACTGATGTGTGATGTTCAGACTGCAATAATCAAAAGTTACTTTAAAACAAAGCAAGCTTGCAGTACTCTTCGTGGTCTTATAGTGGAAGGCTTGAAGTTTAGATGTTTTGGCGATGTGAAAAACACTAATTCATAACCGAAATTTTAAGCATGAAAATGATAATTTCTAGGAGTTTTCAAACACTGAATCACCTATAACTCGAAAACAGACAACCTTAAATTACTATGGATATTTTTTCTCTCGCAAATACAAGATTCTCACATTGCTTAATATATCGGCACCTCTACAAAAATAATAAATTAATCTCCTGATTTCGTTAGTTTGGAATTAGTCATTGTAACTGGCGGACAAATGTTACACATTTTCCTTCAATTTTCTTCTAAAGCCACATACCAGATAACACAGTACCGAGTATTATTATGCACTCTCGAGTGAAACAGGCAGTATGAGAAAAAGTAAATTTGGTGATTTCCTTTAAATAAAAAGCACAGCGCGGTTCGCCCGTGTTACCATGTCTGGGATCTTCCAAAATTCCGAATTTGTCAGCCTACCATGAATTTATAAATTCGCCTGTTACGATCTGACAACGTCGCACTGCTCGGAAAGGTGTAGAGAAACCATGACAGCTCTGCTGCCCTACCATAAATCATGGTTCATGATCCTTGAAGATGCCGGCAAATCTTGAGATGCACGAAATAGTGACGACCGGCGGTATTTTCAGCATTTGTTCAAAAATGAGCTTTTATTGGTCGTCAGCCTGGACTAACTAACTGTCACTCAATTATTAAGTATGACACAAATTAGTAAAATAGGTTACATATAATAATATTAATAATGTGTCTTTATTTTGGATTAAAAGTATAAACAAAAAAAACTCATATGACGAGCGAATACCGCTGCTCTTCCATGCAACCCCCGTAAATAATACTATTCTTAATGGATAATCTAACCTTTACAGATTAATAATAGTTGTAATTAATACAAACAACGAAAATTAAACTATTGTAGTCTTTTCATATGCGATTTGACTCTATTTCGGAAGCTACTAAGTGAGAGCGAATTTTTGACTATATCTGGCAATGAGTTGTAAATTGAATATGCAACATAAGTAAATGACTTTTTAAATTGTTCAGTACCCTGGAACAGAACATCATAGAGATTACAAGTACGAGTTTGCCTATCATGCAGATCCGATCTCCTAACAAACTTGGTACAGAGGCTCGAAATCCATCACTGAAGTGGTCATATTTTTTCAAACCGTACAAAAATTTAGTACATGAGTTCTGAATTTTTTAGATAGAAAGTTTATCTCTAGCAGTGAGAGAAGGCCAGTTATACAATATCAGCATGCTACAAAGAAGGCAATATCAACGAATCGCATAGATGCAGCCTGATTTTGGTAGTGAGAGCATTTTTGTAATGATAAAAACTCCTTAATTTAGCATAAGCTTTGTGTAAGAGATGCTTAACGTGGGGTGCAAATTCAAGAGTATTATCCATATATAGTCCCAGATTTTTACATTTGTTGCTTGCCTGTAATACAGTGTATTGATTGCCAGTAACCTCACACGGCCTTGGTCTAGAAATAAGAATTTTGGTTTTATTTTCATGTGGGCTCTTACATATCTAGATAAATACTCAATCTCAGAATTGATACGCATGCAGGCAACATGAGCATCATCAAGTTAAGAGTAATACAGTAGTGTATCATCAGCCACTGATGTGTACTGCAAAATTCCAACTGACTTTTCAAATCTGACATATACAGTGAAAACAACAAAGGTCATAAAATAAAAGTTCTAGTTGCCCAGAAACCAGATAGGAAAATCGTGAAATCTAAGGAGGATAACTAAGCTCCAATGCACAGTTGATTCTCAAGATTATTTGAGGTTTCTTTATTCTCTCTTATACAGGGTAAACTGAAAGATTTCTTGCTTTGCTGGACTACTCGACACTACCCACAAGCCCATGCGCAATCTCAAGCTGATCTGAAAAATAGTTTTCTTTCTATAACAATTTAAAGTAGATGCAGTTCATGTGGTCTTAGAAAATGGAAATAAATTCAAAAGTGTGCACTGGTCAAATACTTGCATAAAAAGTTCGATGGAGACGAAATTCGTACTATGATAAACGTATTGAGCAGTGATGCTTCTTCACGATCAACAGTGTTCAGCCCGATTGCGAGTCGACCTGTTAATCAGTCAACTCGAAGGATTGAGGGCTCGAATCTTTGCTTCGGACGTTAATTTCGAGCCGTAGTTGTTGTGTTGTCTACAGTATATTCAGATAAGAGATAGACCGGATGTAAACAAAAGGTTCGGGTGATTTTCACGCTAACGCCGCCGTCTCGACGTAAAACAGGAGCCCTCATTGGTCAATTCGCAATTAAATGCCTATGCCGAGCGGCAGAGCAGTCGTATTAAGGCAGAGTCACATTCAGGTTCAGACGTGTTACGTATGTCGTGTGCATCATTGCAATTTGATATTTCTTTGGACGTTTTCGTTTGTTATCTTATTAAGTTGTTGAGTTTGTCGTTGTTATTGTTATACCTTGTTATTGATTGTTATTGTTATCAACTGCTTGCGCAAATTGCCCAGTAGTACAGATACTGCCGATGAAGTTGTAAACTCCTGTAGTCCACCTAGGAAACGCTCTAAAAAAAGACACCTGAGTGCAGAAATGAAAGAGGTCATTTTGAATATATATAAGATCGAGCGCGAGGAGAACGAGGCATCAACAATCAAAGAAATTGTTGTGAAGGTTTCTCACAAAGTTGGGGTGTGTCGCGCATCAGTGTTTAATGTGTTAAGACAATACAAAAAAAATCACACCTTTTCTGAGCCAATGACCAGTAAACATCGCAAAAGTATTGTTAAATCATTGGATGAAGCTGATAAGCATGCGATTAGGAGGAAAGTGCATGAATTCTTCTTTAGGAAGGAAATACCTACTATAGATAAAGTACTGCAGGAGGTAAATGGAGATACAACGTTGCCAAATTTCAAACGATCAACTTTCCATGCGTTACTGAAGCATTTAAATTTCAAATGGAAAAAACGGGGTCGTAATAGTTTACTACTGGATAGAGAAGAAATTGTGCTATGGAGGAGGGATTATTTAACAAAAATTGGGAAATATAGAAATCAAAACAGGAAGATTTATTACCTTGATGAAACGTGGGTAAACGCAGGACACACTACAAGTAAAGTATGGGTTGATGATTCTGTAACTTCATCCAGGAGGGCCTTTCTAGATGGACTGTCCACCGGATTAAAAAATCCAGCAGGTAAATACGAGTAATAGACAACAATCGGATGTTTTTCAAACCTTGGGAACAAGGTTCTAAACATTAATTCCAGGGGGCAGATAAAACCTATTACAAGTAACAAAACTTTTATAATTTTCGATAAAATGCATGGATGTTTTATTGTCATTTTCATTTGTTAGAACTTTT